CAACTCAACATTTATACAATGATAAAACAAAGATATAGCCATTATAGTTTTCTTATTATTCTTTGTCTTCCCTTTTATGTTTACCATTGTGTTAAAAATATTTTCAAACATGTTATTTTTTATATGCATAACATCTCGATTATGGTGGAGGAGTCAGTCTTCTAAGAAAGAAGATCCTAAAAAATACTTCGTTAAGCCAAATTGTGGGTCACACCAAAACCATAAAACTTTTACTCACCAAATTGAAAACTGAACACCATGCTCTTGTACTGTGAGACCATGTCATATAATTTTTCACTCGATAGTACAGGCGTTGCAAAATTTCTTTCAACTTTACCTACAAAAAAAATCATTTCTATTATTTTATTACTTGTGATGGGTTAACAAGAATCTCTGTTGGCAATAAAAAAAAGATGTTTTATCATAGTTTGTTAGCTTGAAGACCTTATTATTTTCCGTATAGTATAAAGATTCTAATTTTTCATGCATGCTCTAACCATAAATCATCTCATGCACAAGAAAAATATTGATAGTCCACATAAAAAATACCTTCATCTGAAAATTTTGCTTTCTCAAGACATTATACGTCAAAGTTTTGGATGACCATAATCGCTTCAACTTATCAATCAAATGTTAAGAACATACATCTATTTTTCTACCCGGACTATTAGGATCGGGTATGACTATAGATAAGAATATGAACTCTAGTTTCATACACATACATGATGACAAGTGCTAAACTGTGAGTATCACTAGCGCAAAAGAATATGGTGTAACAAATAAACTGAATAGATTGAATCTGTCTATACATAACCCAACATATAAATTTTATGGTTTTATTAAAAATTGATGATGCATCCTATTAAACTGTTTATAGACTTCACAATCAGAATGGTGCATCGTGATCTCACCCACTACACTATGTGAATGATATTAAATGATGTCATGTCATATGTTCAGTAGTTTTTGGATGCATGGATAGTCTTTATCAATGAATACCGATAGAAAATATAAAGTAACATTTTGTCAACAAAAATCATTATTATTTACCAATGAA